GTTTCAAGGCTGTGCTTTGTCTCAACATTTGCAGACTGTTAAATTCTTTATTACTTTGTCTTGAATAATCCACAGATAAACCCAGAGTAATCCCTCCTGTATTCACTGGGGCGTGGTGTAGTAGGCAATATTTTCCCCAGAGATTCAGGGCAGGAATGGTTATGGAATTTGCTGTGAGTTAATTCAAAGTAAAGCCCATATTGCAGGAAGCAGCAGCAGGCCTTAACAGTTCTCTGATGAACACAGGGCTTGAAGAGCTTCCAGTGAAGAACTGTAGAGGTGAGACCCCTACAATAGAAACGTGGCCCCTTTCAAACATGCAGCAGCTATTAGTCTCTTACTGCATGTCCTCTGTGGTCCTGTCCTTTGTTGGAGGGGATACATGATCAGCTTTCCCTTCTTTGTGTAGGAGAAGTCAGGAATGTTGTGCCCTCAGCTTTGGAGGAACCACTGGACACTACATGTATCCTCTGGCATCCTTTAGAGTTATAAAAGCTGATCTTTTTCACAGTTTAATTGCTGCATTACCAGCTTCTGAGTGGGTTTTTTGACAGCACTGTCTCATGCCTTAACAATTTTCACTTTGATAGTTCATCAAGGTTTCTTACTCCTCTTAATGGTGTTGGGTAGAAAAAAAAGCAAAACTATCAGTCTGAGTCCTGTGGAGAGCCAGGAGTCTGAGCTGCCTCTCTTGCTATGATGTTGGAGATTCTAGTTATGTGACTCCTGAAACCTGACAGCCCTTTGCTTTCAGACCCAGGATTTCACTGGGAGACTTTTGCTGAAGGAAGGATTTTTATTCCTGCCAAATCTTTTATTCAGAAAGCACATTTAGAATGAATGAGTTGTCTGGCGGTTGCTCTGTCTTTAAATTTGCCCAAAAGAGTGTGTTAGAACTTGGACAATGGCCTTTTTGGATTTTTTTTTCCCCAAGAAGTAGAGACCTGCAGAAATAGAATTGTCAGCGCTGGGGCAGAAGTATTCATAACCTTTCATGGCCTTTGTAAGCACAGGTGCACATTCTATGTCTTCTTCCTTGCATTGAGGGGTTTGCTTGCATTTATTTTGCAAGCTCACGTGAAGATGAGCAGGTATGCTCTGTACCTCAATATTCAAGATATTCGTTGTATATTCAAATATATTCAAAAGTATAATCAAGATAGATGTTAAAAGCTTTCTCAAGAGGAGTTAGAACTTGATAAAACAGCAAGAAACCTTGCAGTGTCCTGGTGTAAGGGTCTTAAAGCTCTGCCTTAGGGTGAGGAGACATCAGGAAATGAGGAGTATAATGTTGTGCAGTACCACTGCACTGCAAATTAAGGTCTGTTTTTGACACAGAAAATGGAAGGGGAAAAACTTGGGTTACCACAGTACAGATCATGAATTAAATAATCTACTTACTGGTCAGGATGTTGAGGCTCCAGGTACAGTCAATCTTTCCTGCGTGGAGATTCTTGAAATCTTATGCAGTGGCATGATGCCTGGGAATACTGTAGACTAAAACACACTAATGGCTCAAAAAAGAAAAATATGTGTTGTAGTTAAACATAATCAGTGATCTGATGGTTTTGATTGCTGGTTTAAAAAGGCCTCCTGGTGGAAGCAGTGCTTTCACTGAAAAAGCAAATTGAAACTGCAGAACATAAGCTGTTCACATTTTAAAGATGAAGCCCAGCCTTTTGCTGTGGGTGTACCAGTCAAACTTGAAGATTCAGAATGTTCTCCTTTTGTTCCTTCCTATATGTGTGACTGTACTTAAAGGTAGGAATGTTTCCAATTCTCCCTCCTTCTACTCCTTCTTTTCTTCCCTGCCCACACACATGAGTTCAACAAATTGTTTTCCATCAGACTTTAACCAGATTAATGTTGTATGTGAATTCAGGTATCATGCCTCATGTTCCACGTGATGACAAGGGCCCTGTGATCACCATTCTTCTGACTTTGAGAAGCTGCTGCCTGGGCCTCAGTAACAGCTTGAGCACTTTCTTTCTGCTAGTCTGCTGCAGCTGTCAAGTAAAAAGTGTTGATTCATGCACCCTTTATGGGTATGAGAAATGAAATTACATTAAAGTATATGAAAGGTTAGAGACTTGGAGACTTCATATTAAATGTGAAGGGACGAGATATGTAATCTTGGTTTGGTCCAGAAAAAGTTTATTCCTGATGCTATTTTACAATTTGAGCCTCAAAATGATTGCCAGTTGTACTATTCTAGAAGAGGAAAAGAAAAGTTTCCCTGAAGTTACTAATTTATCAAGTCATCTTCCTGCAAGGCAGGAGCTGTCTTTGGGCACATAGTCCTGTGACCATCTAAGCTTTTTCAGCGGAGGCCTCTGAGCTCTCTTTGTCACAGCAGAGACCTGTAGCTTTTTGTAGTGCATTTTGGTTCTGTGTAGACATAACTTTCTCATTTTGGGAAATGCTTTATTTATTTTCAGGATTATCTTGCCCCATGCATTCACCTTCCCACAAATGACAAAGCTGTAACCGGCATAAGAATGAAATTTTGTTTAGAAGCTGAAGCTTCTGATTTGAAATCTGGTGCTCATTTGGAACAGTGGGTCACCTTTCCTTTTGAGCCCTCCCATTTTCACATATTTGAGCCCCCACCCCCTCAATATTTGTTGGTGTGAATCCTATTTTTATTCATTTACACTTCTGTGAAAAAAAAATTGGGAGAAGTTGTTGGGATTTGCTAGTGAAGATGCTAAGAGAGTTTATTAATTAGAAAACAAACAGAATGATTCCCTTATGCTGTAGTATCTCACAAGGAGGCATCTTCTTGACATAGGTGTATTAGATTGCCTCCTTGGTGGTATGAAAATACTTGTTCAAAATGTATTCAACAGTTTCTGAGGTTCATCTCAGGAACTAGGAAATTAATGGAAACTCTTTTCTCATGTACTTTTTGAAGAAACTGGTAATGCAAAGCACTAAAAGTTGTCTATTGTGGAACTATATTTAATGACAGTTTGGACTCATTAGGTAAAACTTGACAAGTATTGTTAATTGTAATTTGATTTATTTCCCTATAACTATTTATAGGTGCAAAGATACAATTGCTTAAACTGCTCCTCTGAGGTTTTTTTGTTTTCTCATCACTTTCTAAGTGTATGCTGGTTCTCTAGCAGTTTCAAAATCTCAAACAGAATAGTGTACAATTTTAAGTGCTCTTAAAATTTCTTAGTGTTGGTACCTAGTATCAACAGATATTAGCTGTTGGCAGACTGCAATCATCCTTATGTAGATCATTCTCATTGACAGCTACATGTGAGATGAATGCATGAGAGGGTTTCTGTATCACCTGTTCTAGGTTGATGGTTGAGAAGTCATTATTCTCAAGCATGTGCAAGCAATTGTACTGTATAGGGCACAAAATTATTCTAGGATGCTAAAGAATATGCAAATGCCTTTACACAAATGACTTAATTTGTGCTGATGACTTCTTTGTACTTTCATGGCAGAAATTGATCGTGTTGTATCTTCTTTTCATTAGAAGCACCAGAAAGCCTGTAAACATTTTTGTAGTATTTGCATTAATTCTGCAACTCTGTAACAGTAGAGCAGCTGTAGTGGTGCTCAAACTGATAGAAGCTTGAAATCACTGAAAATCAGTTGTGTAAGATATGTGCTTGAGAACTCATGTCTTCCAAGTGTTAGCAAAGTCCCAACAGCAGAAATTTGCACTTACTCGATAACATTTAACTCTGTCCTGCCCTTAGGACTGCGAGTCCTGCAGACATCCTGCAGCACCCGATTACTGGGGCAGCAATAGTCCCTGTGTGTCACAAACATGCAGCTAGACCAAAGTGTAGCCAACACCGAGTTTCACCCTCATGGCATATGGTTTTTGTAACTTTGCATTTGTATTAAAAGGAAATGGTTTTCGAAGGCTGCTGTGGTAAAGGGCTGTGGTCTAACTGTCCTCAGCTAATCACCCATTCTCATCACAGCCCACCTCCTCGGAACCAGTTGTGACTGGTTCAGTTTATAGGGTTTTTCCACCGCATAACCAAACCTTCCTGTAAACAAATGCCCCAGCACCCAGAAGCCTTAAAAATCCACTTTTCCTCCTATTAGAGCTAAATAAATAAGAATTAAATCTTAGTAGGAACAGTATGTATTTGTACAAACAAACTTCATGTGAGCTGTTGGAAGATGTAAAACCTGCAACCAAGCATTCAAAAAACCCCTGAAACGGAGAGGTGATGGTTTAGGGTTGCATGTAGCAAAGGGTTTGTTGTGTTTTCTCTGTTTTTCTGAACTGCATGGACAACATCTTTCAGTTTTGTGCAGGAGACACAAAGAATGGATTCAGGGATCATACAGTGAGAGATCTTGGTTCCTTAATGCAGCCAAACGTTTGGCTAGCAGAGATAGAGGATATCCATGTAATATCCAGGTAAAATCCATTATGCTACTGAAATCTACAGTTACTGCATCCCAAAAATACCTTTGTAGCTGTTTTGTTTCACATTGGTTGGAACCAAACCTTAACAAACAATAGCATGGGATCCCAGGTATTTCTCAGAGTTTGTCTGAAGACTAGAAATCACATCTTTCTTCACATTGAAGAGCAACATGACATTGAAGGCAGTAATTATTTGCTTTGGCTGCAATAAGCAGGTTCTAACACAGCTTGTAAAGCATGCCATTAGTAAAATAGCCGTGGTTGTTAGAACTCAGCCTGGCAGGTTTTCCTTCCCTTATGACAGCATGAGCCCTAGGAGTCAGTCCTGTTGTAACAAATTTCCCCTTGGCTTGGCTTAACTCTTTCACGAAGCTTAGCTTTTTGTTTCATAACAGAAAAGATGTAACAAACGAGGATTTAGTGTTCTTTGTAAAAGGGTTCCAATTAAAACATTGAAAAGCAGAAAAGTGATATTTTAAGGACCTTTGATTTCCTGAGAAATTTATATGAACAGAGAAATTAATCAGGTTTTCTAGACATCTTTGCACAGGCTGTGGAAATTCTGGAGAACAAACACAGGCCTCATAGAGACAGTTGGAGGAAAGCTTTTATTGCCATCATCATTACAGACACAGTGAATGCAAATGCTGCAGGAGCATATCTCCAAAACCTAGGGCAGCTTTTTGCCCAAAACCAAGCAAGTGATTTATCCCAATATGTCTACTTCCTATTTTTCCACGTGAATTTGAAAGGAATTGATTTGTGGAACTGGGAGATTAAGAGTTCAACGTCTCTGAGAATTTTTCTTCCTTTGTGAAAATACTTTATTAGAGCTTCACATTCACGGTTTTGCTCAGTTTTAAAAGGTGTCTTTCAACAAGGTGATGTTCATGACCATTGTGATTGTTTTATTTTTTAAAAATCACAATGTGCAAATTTTCAGACCATGTCACAGTGGTAGAAATTCACTGGCAGGTGGATTTCTTCACTTTCTGTCTGTGTGAACCTTAGACTTGCTTTTACTCTTATCTGGCTTTTTCATTCAAAATTCTTTTGTTCACTTTTTAAAGTTTTGTTTAATTGTATCTTAAAGCACACCACTTCAGAATAATTAATTCTTGATTTGTTGGATACATGAGAGTTGCAACAAATCACTGAAAGTAAAAATTAACTAAACCTGTTAATTTACTGCACAGGAGTGCTCCTAATTAAGCCTTAAATGCAGTGACAAAGCACATCTGTGCTTTGTATGTCAAAAGCCCTGTTATACCCCTGAGTTTCTGGATGCATAGCTACTTTTGACACGGCTACCTTCTTAGTTTTGCAATACGGATTTGGATTAAAATGCATTATTTCTATTGCCTATCTTTATTTAATATTCAGAAAAAATATTAGGAAAGCCAGACCTATATCAAAACACTAGCAGTAAAATGAGCCTTTATGCACTAATACTAGAAAATTATTTTGGAATCTTTTTTTTTTTGCTATTACATCTAACGCCGAGAGCAGGGAAGTCTATATGGATAAAATACAGCAAAGTAAATTGAAGATCGGTTTGTAGCCCCTTCTTAAAACAGCATTTATGCTTTCTTTCCTCCATACTTGGCTGAAGCCCACATTTTGTAGATGAAGAAGAGTATGATAAGATAGTACATGGAGCTCTTCAGAAGAAAGATGATATATATTAAATATGCTGTCCTGTGCATTAACTGATCTGTAACAAATATAAGAAGACAGAAAAATCTTGTTTAATGTCAAGGTTGTATAGCATCCTAAAAAATGGATAGAAAGGGAACAATGCAGTCATTTTACTGCTGCAATTACATTGACACCAGTGCATAGCATAAACATGTACAAGACCTGTTCTGTACTTTAAATGGGTTTGCACTGCTGACGAGTTCCAGAGCTGGTGGGTTTCTTAGTACTAAACTGACTCTGTCACTGGGTTATTATTCCTTGTAAAGACAGGAGCATAACTGTAGTGCTTCCAGCACTTAGTAAGATGTTCGTTTAAATCATTTTGTGTTGTATTTCTTGAAGATAACTGCTCATGATTCTACTTAAATACGATTCAAGCAAAAAAAAAAATTCTTTGTCCAAAGTTCTGGGCAATTGCTAGACTGGTGCAACATCAGCTGATGTGTTTAACTACTCCAAGTGTTTAAAAAAGTGGTGCTTAATGCAGGCTAACAATCTAGTAGCCCAAACAGCGTCTGTAGCATCTTAATAAAGCTACCTGATACAGCTAGGAGAGCCCCTTATATGAAGTTAGAGTAGTGCTGAAAGGTTTTTGAGTTGCTGACCCCAGACTTGAAAGATTTCCTGTATACTACTAAGGAAGATAATTTTTGGGATGTTCAGATTATATGTAGCAACATCTAACTCTTGCATAACACGCATCACTTTCTCACATTTTAACATATTAAATTACCTCTATTAAAAACTGTTCCACAGTCCTCTTCCTGAGGAGTAGTCTTCATCAAATCTATGGGAAAGGGAGTTAAAATGCCACAGTTAGGCTTTTCTTCAATTTTCACAAGTAGGAATTGAGAAATAGAGAAAAAAAAGAGGCTGTATAGGAAGAAGTCTGGGAAAATGGGTAGTTATTATTAAATTAAAAAATGGAAACTTAAGATTAGTCTGCAAAGCAGATATTCACAAGCAGGATTGATTTGCAGAGAGAATTTGAAGAGAAGAAATGCTCAAATAAGTGGCTGGGTATTTGTTGTCATAAGATGTGAGAGATGTGGGAGATGTGTCTTTGCCCTTCCAGGAATGTGTCCATTAGTTTGTTCCTTGGCAAAGTGTCTTTTATTTGAACAGGAGTCCGTTTGACCACCTGGCCTTGCCAGTGAAGAAGCTGAAGTCCATTTGTCTTAGCAACCTACTGTTATCAGAAATGCAGAATGAATTATGCTGGAAGAGACTTCAGTTTATATGCTAATGTGTTAGTGGCTGTTCAACAGCAAAGAATAATACTGAGCAGTGTATGATCTTAACTTTCTCTACTGGGAACCTTGGTGCTGTTTTTTTTCCCTAAAATACATCCTTTTTGTTCTTGAAGTAGCAAATTTGAGTTTGTTGTTGTTTACGTTCTTTGTATCTGTTGTTACAAACATTAAGATATTTATATGGCATCTCTAAATACTTCACCTAAATAAGCTTAAAGGATATTTTTGTCAGAATATATTTTGAAGGTTGAAATGTAATTGTTGTTTATGGCAATGCTCTCACTCATTGGAGTAAGGTTAATTTATGGTAAGTTAAGCAGAGGTAGTTATGGAGAGAAGATTAATTGAAACCAATTTAGACCACTTTTCTTATAGAAGATTTAAACAATTTGCGTTGAGTGTAAGTTACTTTGTCTTTAATGTTGCATTGTCTTTCAGATTTGGCTTTGCTTAATCAATCTTTCCACAATTAAAAACAAAATCTTAGTTTTATACATGGCTATTGACTTCCTATTTCTAGATTGTGGGTAAGAAATATTTTTAAACTTGTTTTTCATCCTCAGCAACCTCTTTTTCAACTCCTTAGATTTTTATAGCTGTGACTAATGTCAGGGGGTGTCAGAGGGACTTACACCCATAAGCTATGAGAGGTAATACTGTTTCCAGAAACCTCTGTAAAATGGAAAGTAACAGACACGTTTCAGTGCAGATCTGTTGGAGCTGTGATAATTTACACCTGATGAGGTTAATTAATTTAAAATAACTATTATTTTTCTGTTATAATGGGATGCTTACTTGGGGACCATAACACAGGCTGAGTTACTTTTCCTGGGAAAACTTTTGGTAGTTCCTCCAGTTGTGTCCTTTAGCTATTGTGCCTAGGAGCACAGATATCTTCATCAGTAAAAGAAAGCATTATTACTCTAATTTTAATGTAAAGAAAAATGATATTTATAATAGTAGATCAAATTACATTTTTAACTTGTGGCATATACCTTGTGTTGGCAGTGAAGCCGTTTTGTCTTCATGCTCATATTTGCAGTAGTAGTTCTTGTCTTCATTCTCTGCTGGCACAGTTAACCAACTGGCAATTGAGTATTCTTCCTCTTCCGTGGACTGCCAAGTGTCACCTTTTACTACGTTGTCTGTTACCTCCTTTTCATCATCAGTCCACGTCACTTTAATAACATCTGGGTAGAATTTCTCAATAAGGCAAACATACGTTGTCTGATTTTCATCTTTTCTCTGCAGGATTTCAGAGTTTGCTGGTGGAGAACTTTCTTTTTCTGGATGGGTTATTGGAGGAAGAAAATTAACAAAACAGAGAGTTGGAAGATCAGTAGTGTACAGCAAATAAATACACAGCCAAAAATACAAATTCCAAAGAGGAGCAAAATAAATGCCTTATTAACAAATATTAATATGCTTGTAACAAATGTAAATGCTCTTCTGAGAAACATTAAGAAACTGAAATGTTGTTGAGTATATCAATAGCTGTTAATCTCACTTGAAAGTGAGTTAAAAATCGTCAGGTGCCTATATCCCACAACCTTCCAAGCAGTACTGCTGTCAGAAAGTGTATTTGCCTGTTCAAGTCTCTGACAATTATTAAATAGTAGTACTATTTCCTGAACAAGTTTCATTTATTCAATAAGAGGAATTTAATATTGCTTTACAATATTTATGGAAAAACAATTACATTAAAGTTTTGTCACAGAATATTAAACATAGACCACCTACATTTAAAATCTTAGCAGTCTTATGTCCCCAGTCTAAGTGCCCACTGCTGTATAATGAACATCTCCTATAGATATAAATTTTTAAAAATCCAATACTAATTCTGTGATATTTTTTAAGAGGCAAGGGAAGGGAAGACAACAATTATTGATCTGTTTTTAAGGCATTCCATGTATTTGCCAGGTGAAGATTTTTAGCAGGACAAGAAAATGGAATCACAAAATGCCCTAGACACCAAAGGTTGGCAGTACCATTCTACCATACTAGATCTGTTTAAATGATTGAATTAATACATCTGAAAATGAAAAACCAAAACTATACTAAGGCAGAAGAGCATGGTATAGCTGGATAACATTTTGACATCTAAACAGCATATCTAGCCAGAGTTATCTGCATAGGTGTTGTGCTTTGGGAAACATGCTCAGTATGAATATACATTAATATATTTTAAATTTAAAGTGAGCTGTTTCCACAAGCTTATTTGACATAATCTCCATTTCATTTGCCTCTCTGAATTAAACCTGGATGCTCTCTGGATTAGGAGAAGACAAAATCATCCAGATTTGGTCCACACTGTTATACATTTTGATAATATTTAAGTGGATAGTAAATTTAAGGGTCTGATTTAGGTAAAAGTGAGCTTCTGCAGTGAGTGCATAGGCAGGGCTCACAATCATTTGTGTCTATGCTTAATTGCAAGTGAAAGCTGAATACAGTTTTCATAACTGACTTTTTTACATAGGAAGTACTGCTTAAGACTATTTTTTTAAGGCAGCAGAGACAATTTAGGTATTCCCATATCCCACCTTTTCTCTTGAATTCCTATGTAAATCTCTGCCACTGAATTTGAGCAAGAGGATGCATGGGGTTTAATTGTGTTCTGACTGATTGGTGGAGTTTTATTGCATTGGGAGAAAATACATTACTATAAAATGCATTTTTGCCAAAAAGCTTCCACTTTTCTTTAGATGATCTGGCTGTTCCAGAGAAATGCATTCTCCCTGAAACAACTTACTGATTCTTTGAAGTATTTCAAACCTGGTGTTTAAGAGAAAGATGACCTGTCTACCTTTAAAAAAGTGTCTACCTTCCTTTTATTAAGAATTTCGTTCATTTTAGAGATGTCATTAAAGTGACAATGTGGACAGAGTTCTGTTGTACAGAAATAAAGTTACTGACAACTTTATAGTTCTTTAACATTAATTTAGTAGTTCATTTTATCTTCTTTATGCATCAGTCCTCCCAAGGATGGATGATCAAAGTCATTTCTAAAATTATCTGTTTGTTCCAGAATCGTATATGTTCCCAAGACCATGAAGTAACTCTTGTCCCAGTGACACTGGGACACTCTGCAAATCTTCATGACCATTTTAGAGGTTTCCTTTAGATTTTCAAATTTTACTAAGTTGTTCTAATTAATTTCAGTACACATAATAGCTTAGCTTAGCTATTATAGCTAAACTATCTAATAGATCAGTTTAGCTTAGACTATCAAGTCTAAGTGGAGAGGAGAGAGAGATTCTTCCAACTGCGAGGTCATCCTGCTAATTTTTGGAGACTTCTGTAATGATGGAATAATTTCCACCATCAGAATTACCAATATCATTCCATTTACTGCAAAAACACCCTAGGCATGTAGCTTACATGAAACACCTAAATCATACCACAATACTGAGGAAACATGTTGCTTGAATAATTGCAGCTGTGTGCATGAATTGAAGTGTCTCATGTATGTATGTGGGTAAATGGATGACAGTGGAGAACTGAAAGAATTAAGTCTGCATCTATCTATCTGTCTATCTATCTATCTATCTATCTATCTATCATCTATCTATCTATCTATCTATCTATCTATCTATCTATCTATCTATCATCTATCTATCTATCAATTTTTATGTGAGAAAAATATCTTTGTGTGTATGTTTCTGAAAAAAAAGGATGAAAACTGTAGAATTGGCTGTAAGTTTTGATGTATTTTCAGGCTGATCTGCAAAGTCTTTGAAGTCAGCAAGACAGTTTACACTGGCTTTCTGCCAAATCATCGGATTCTTTCTGAAGAATTTTAAAGTAATGAACTTGCACTCCTCGGTCACTTTTGATCCAGCTAAACACTGAAAAATGTTGTGGTTTACCTTAAACAGTTTTCTAAAGAAGGTTTTAAGAGGTATATAAGTCTTAGCTTTTCACATAAAATGTAGGTATGATATTTCTTAAGCTAACATTTGTCTTTGTCTCATATAACAATGGAGCGAGGCTATAAAACACTGTTCAAACGAAATCCTGGAGTTAGGTTCATAACTGATGAGCTATTAAAAAATTAAATTCAAAATATATGTTTATGTAGATCAGCTGTCAAGTTTTTTTAATGAAACTCCTCTACAGTTTCTTTATAAGTATCTATAAATAAGATTTATAAATAAGGTCACTTAAACACTTAAGGTGTTCTTAAACCGAAATTTTAATTCTCATTACTTGGGTGACCCCATGAAATGGAGTAATTTTGTACTTACACTCAAAGCTCCTCTGTTATACTTCAAGCCAGTGGGACCTGAGGGCGCTGAGCACACTCAGCTCCTAAACAACATTCTTGTCCTGCTTGTCAGAGACTTCAGGGATTATAACTGGTATAGTCCTGACCTATGGTGAGCCTTTCCAGACACCTTAAAGAGCTGTCAGCCTTCTTTCCAAAACTTTCCCATTACAAAACTTTTAAAAACATAAGACTGTGAAAAAACTTACCAGAGACAATGAGTTTTGTGCCAGAACCAAATATCAAAGCCCTCCCACTGGTACATTCCTTTAAAGAAACTGACATCTGAAGGAGGTATGACATACAAAGGGACCTGGACAAGCTCAAGAAGTGAGTCCATGGGAGTTTCATGCAGTTTAACAAGACTAAGTGCCAGGTGCTGCACTTGGGCTTGGACAACCCCCAGTACCAACACAGGCTGGGGGAAGAACAGATGGAGAGCAGCCTTGGGAGAAGGAGCTGGAGGTGCAGGTGGATGAGAGGCTGGACATGACCCAGCCATGGGCACTCACAGCCCAGAGAGACAAACGTGTCCTGGGCTGCATCCAAAGCAGTGCAGCCAGCAAGGCAAGGGAGGGGATTCTGTCCCTCTGCTCCTCTCTGGTGAGACCCCACCTGCAGTGCTGCATGCAGCTCTGGGGATGAGGAAAGGCTGAGAGAACTGATATTGTTCAGCCTGGAGAAGAGAAGGCTTTGGGGTTGTCTAATTGCTCCCTTGCAGTACCTGAAAGGAGCCTACAAGAAAGATGGAAAGAGACTTTTTTACAAGATTATGTAGTGACCACGATAAGGGGGAATGGCTTCACACGGAAAGAGAGTAGGCTTAGGTTAGATCTTAGGAAGAATTTCTATACTATGAGGGTGGGGAGACACTGTAACAGAGAGCCTAGAGAACTTGTGGATGTCCCATCCCTGGAAGTGTTTGAGACCAGGTCGGATGGAGCTCTGAGCAACCTCTTTTTTTCATGTGGAAAGTGTTCCTGTCCACAGCACTGGGGTTTAAACTAGATGATCTTTAAGGTCTCTTTCAACCCAAGTCATTCTATGATTCTATGATTTTGGCCAGAAAAGTACCAGATTTAACAACTATAATATGAACAATAAGATTCTCTAGATTAGGCTTCATGAAAGTAGAATATTTGGATTCAATCTCAGTTAATGCTGCTATTCAAAAAATAGCTTTATCCTAAGTCCTGTTTTTCTCCTTGTCTTAATGATTTTAAATTCTTAATGTGAAGTAACTACAGCCCTTTTACTCTAATGAGTCAAAATCCTTGGCCTCATGAACACAAAATCCTACAGAATTAGAGTGATGCTTGAGAATAATTTATGTTAATCTGTATATAGGAAAAGCATGGTAGCATTACCTACTTGATTAGGTAGGTAAGGGCTTTCACTAAAAACAGCATGCTTATCATGCCACAGATATTTCCATTGAATTATAGGTATGATTTACTTAGTCTTCTGGCATAAGTCATTAAACCAATCTTTTCTTGATATGTTAATATAGGTTTATGTATTAACCAGGCTTATAACACTTGGTAGCAGTACTTCCTCTGCCTTTGTATAGTTGTTCACTTCAGGATTATGGCATTTAAAGCACATGTGGGAAGTGGGAAAAATATTTTCGTCTGCACTTTCTGTTAAAATAAACGTCTCTGCAAGAAAGGCAAGAAAAGGATCACTTCTAAGCAGTTATTAAGTAATGAGAAGAACATTTGGAGGTTCTAATTTATTTCTAATGCCAAGGTGTTGTGTATGTGACAAAATAATTATGAATAAGTTATTTCACTTTTTCTAGCCTAATTCTAAAATATTTTTTGCAATGTCCGTTGCATACTGTTCTTTGTATCTGTATTGGAAAGAAGTTTTCTTTTTTCATGCTTAATTCTCAGCTGCTTGATTCCCTGCTGATTTCTTCAGTACAGCTGGAGGAAAGCATGAGGTCTCTGAAAACTAATACATTTTCCACCAGATTTCTAGGAGAATTATGATCAAAAGTGGCTTGAAATAGCTTCTTTTTAGGCATGTTTGCGATCCTAAACCACTGCATTACAAATACCACAAGGATGAATGTAGGAATGGCGAGCTGGGGAGGAAAATCCTGCACAAGGAATGGTGCTGACTGAGGCTCTAAGTGGGCTGAGTGACCTCTGAGACAGTATAATGCTCATCTATATGACCAATCCCAGCTCCTATAGCTTATTGCATGAACAATATACATACAACTTACCTGAGACAATGAGTCTTGTACCTGAACCAAAGACCTTGTTGTAATACCCAGTCACAGTGACTAAAGCCTTTACAATATCACTGAGGCTCGGTTGTGTTTGCATGGGTAAATAGTACTCTTTAAAAAAAAAGTCAGATTTACTGTATAATCAATTTTTAGACCCTAGGAAAGTAAAAAAGGAGCAGTCACCTAAAATAAACTAAAGTTTTAAAAAAATAAGGGAAAAAATGTGGAATTTTTGGAGGATGTATAAGTTGTTAGATGAACAGGATTAATCTCAACTAATTTGAGTTTTCTGAAAGTTTAGGTCGACAGTGCAGACGGAGCACCTTGGCTCCATCTCAGCTTTCTGGAAACAGGCAGCATCACCAAAATATGCATTTAATCGGATGTTGGCAAAGTAATTTGCTCCTTAAACACTCCCATAAGATCAGACCTAGAATTGGTGAACATTATGCAGAGATCTGAGGAGCATGAGACTATTGACCAATATTTCTGTTACCAGTAACATGAAGTAAAGCTGCATTGTTTGGAATCAAAATTCCCACTGATAAGATACACCATTTTACGCTGGTCAAAATTAGGCAAATTGTTTTCATGTCAGATGCTTAGCTGAGCCAAACTACAGGCAAGTATCACAGCACTTAGGGTTTACTTGAAGCAAAATATTTTGAATAGTAGTAATAACTGATAATAAGCATTTTCAGCAAAAGCTAGGAAGAGAGAGTAGCCTTTCGACTTTGCCTGTCTTAAAAGGTGCTACTTACTGTTCTGGGCATATCTCAGATAATTCTCTCATTTTTGTTCATAGTCAGATGCAGTCCAAAAGAGAAATGTTTTGCTTTTGAAAGAATATGTGCAACACAGAGGTTGGACGTATTATTTTCAGAATTAATTAGGAATATCACAAAGGCAAATGTCCATACTTAGAGATAAAAAACATTTTTCTGTTCTCCAAATGCTGTCGTTGCCATATTTAAATTTATTTTTATATAGAAAATCATAATGGGATAAATTATGGGTCTCTGCTGCAATAGCTGTTGTTTCCCCCATTTCAGGCACAAATACAGAACAATTACATTGTGTTCTGCAAATGGAAATGGAAATGCTGTTTAAGAGGGAAATCCTGCGAAGTATTCAGAACAGTTAGAATTAGAGAAAATTAAAATAGCAAAGGACTTCATGCCAGCCAATATCTAGCTGTATCAAAAAGTACTTCCGAAGTAGTCAAGTTTTATATTTTGTACTTACTTGAAACTATAAGTTTAGTTCCACTTCCAAATATTTTGATGTCGGGATCCCACAGTCTTATAATGCTTATCAATATCTCCTGCACTGCACTTTTCTTGCATGGGCTACAGAAAAAGTCTCTCTGATTTAGAGGCTGGTGATAAATCTGACTGAGTGCTATAGCTGAATTTTCAACATTGACTAGAGTGCCATTTCTAGAAATAATTGAATTTTTGTAGCGAGTAAAAAGTTCTGAAAACTTTTGGTCAGAGACACAGATAGAAAATATTTAAAACTTCTCTGTAACTCTCCTCAGCAGTTTGCAATTTGACTTAATTAAAGCCACCTTGATAATGTCATGTAGTTTCTGAGGCATTGCTGTATGCTTTATACTGAAAACAGCATTCATCCTTTTGATTGCATAGCTTCACCACAATTAAAAATAATGCAAATGCAAAAGTAAACCAGTTGCTTTCAGTAGGGCCAGGAGCTAGAGATTTATTACACTCAGGGAATTCTTCTTCCCATCAATTTAGACCAGACCACTTCTGTCAATAAGAAACTTTTTCATTTCTCACATGATGTTCTGGGAGTTAACTTTCAAGCAGTTCACTTTTGTTTCCTAGAACAGGATGAAACCACCTCAATATTTAAATCTACCTACCAAATTGGGGCACCATGCACAGTTCACAAACAAAATATGATTTTCATAATATTTACAGTCTTTCATTCTTGATTATCTGAGAACCTGAACGATTCTGTGAAAATCAGTTCAATGATAATGGTACTTACCAGAGATAATTAGCTTTGTTCCCGTGCCAAAGTTTTTGACCCAGGTGCTCCACACTGTGTTTTGACTTTGCAATAAGCTAGCATGCTCTCTTGATATACCATTGATGAAGAAAATCCAAATTTTTCCCAATCATTGGTGGGAGTCTGCACGAAGACCTGGTCCTTGACTGCTCAGAGGTCATTGGGAATTTCAGATGTGCATCTGGATGTTCAGCTAATAGCTAATGTCCTTCAGAAAACATCTCTTTCCTGAAGTGTTGTAAATTTGTTAGATAACCCCTCCACTTTTTCTTCAATTTTAGATAGCAAATAAGAACACAGAGTTCTGCATGTAAAAAAGCACGTACCTTCAGTCAAAAATCCTGCTCTTTTCCAGAGGTGTACACCTGCAATTACATGACATCAAGTACTACTAGCATGGAGTTCATTTTTCCTTGTCTGAACACGGAAGAGGGAAAGGAGGGCGATCCAGCACCCAAAGCATTGTGGTGGTGTCTGTCTGCTGCATGTTGCATTCTCTTGCCCCAAGTAGGTGGTTATTGTCTGCCCATCTCTTGGAATCACTCCAGGCTTTGCTACAGCAGCTCACTGGCAGCTTTTTATATAGCAGCTGGTGAGAGGAAAAAGGCTTTTCCTTGTGCAGGTTTTTTTCTAAAACAGCCCAAGATAACATCAGAGGAGTCACTACTACTGTCAATCAAACAGCTTGCATGCTTAGTTTGGCATTTAAATTTATTAAATTTAAACTCAGTTTATCTGAGTACTTCTGGGATCTCTTGTAGCATACTGACTGCAAAATTATGTTGAGAAATGATTATTTGTGGCAAGAAGGAGGAACTAGACGGTGAAGATCTTTCAGCTGAAGTAGATGTAAAAATCCTCAGTGGTCTATTTTGAAGTCTCCTGGACAGAAACATCCTAAACACAACCACAAACCAAGGAGTGATGTAGACAGAATGATGCTGACTGGTGTTTTTCCTGCCACACCCTTAGACATGCAGTGAAGGAAACCACCCATCTTGGTTCTGGCCAGACAGGGTTAACTTTTTGCAGTAGAGAGGAGAGTGCATGGCTAGGACACACAGGTTATTCTACATCACCTCACCCTATTGCTGGATGTGGGGAAAGGGAGTCTCTTCTGCAGGAGAAGGGGTTCCTTCTGGTCAGGTACCTGTGGCAGAGTGAGCAGTTGGGTGATGCTGTTTCCGGGCTGGAGGGAGCAATCAGCTAAACCCAGTTTCAAGCAATCATGTGGGAATTGTATTGTATGTTGCACATTTCATTATTAACATTGTTGCTGTTATTGTTTGGTTTTTACCTCACTGCTGTTTCCAGTAAGCTGCTCTTATCTCAACCCATGATTTTTGCCTTCTGGATCTTCAATTCTCCTCTCTGGCCCTCCACAAGGGAGTAGGGGGAGCTAGCAATCATAACAAGGTTTAAAGTTTCAGTGGGAGCACTACACTGGGGAGTACATTCCTAAACCATTACAGCCTTACTTGGTGTCCGAATGGAGCATGAAATGTTGAGATAACAACAAGGCTGTCCAGAGCCAGTTGAAAACAAATTTTATCCAGGCATTTATTATATTAAGTATGGAGCCACTGGTTTCAATTTTGCTTGGTCGATTCACATGATTGTGGTACCTAACCCTATATATATCCTGTTTGTTCTCCTTGTGGTGTTCTATTTCAGAGCAGGGAGAAGGATCAGGGTTACTTTGTTGATGTATTGGGTGATATTAGCTAATGACATGACAACGTCAAGGGCAATGAGGGACATTTGGGGTGCTCTCCTACCCTTACCTTGGGCATCACCTTTGGGGGTCTATTAATACTCATAGGCAGTTTATGGAAGGAACACGGCAGGACCATTTCCCCAAGATTTTCACCCACTTTTCCTGCTTCAGGCCAGTTACAACAGCTTTTGAGAATTTTGAATTTCCCTTGGATGTTAAGGAAAGCATGTTCTTGTTGCATAGTCTGCCAGGTTCCCTCAGTGTTGCTCATACCATGTTTAGAGTCAGGGCAGAGATTTATAGGGAGGTTATTCAGAGATCTAACTTGAGCATGGGTAGTCATGAGTGCCATGAAATGTAGGAGAAAACAGGCCAGCTTTTGAAGGATTATTCTGCTCCAGTGTTTTGGAAGATCACTCTTGAACATCTGCAGGACTCTGGCAGAGGTGTAACTTACTACAATGTGCCCTGCCTACCCTCTGCTGGACACAGTTCCATATCAGACAGCATCCTCAGGGGGAAGAGGAGGTAAACAGACCAACAGGCACTGTGGCTACTCAAACTGCAGCTGAATGAGAGAAACAACCCAAGACAAAATCAGTTTGTTTAGTGAGGGATGAAGAATAGGGCACTCACAACAGGAGGAAGAGGCAAGGCCAGAGATAAACACCTTATCCCAGGTCAGCTGTGAGATATGTGAAAATATTTCAGCTGCCAGTCAGGAGAGCCCCTGGTGACCTGCCTGCTCTGGTGCTGGGAAATCATGGTCCACAATATGAAAGTAGATGGTAGTGAAGCCAAGCAGCTGAGATCCTTGTTCTGGGATCTGGGCATTGGCAATGGGATTGGGAAGAGGACAGAGACTTTCAGCCTCTGGAGGCACCTCCTGTCAAGCAGAAGGGAAAGGATTCTTTCATTCTCTCAAAGATGATCCAATAGGGTACCCAAGGAGGTGGAATGCCATGGAAAAATGTATCCAGTACCTGGGTGACTTAGCTGTGCTGAAGGTAATCTGTAGGGATTCAAATCACAAGCAGTCCCTTGCCCAGTGTACACAATGTAAGTGGCAGAAGTTTGTATGGAGCTTGCCATCATCATACACCAACCCTTTGGCATCCTTTTCATTGATACCAATGAAAGAAGAAGAAACACTGCTTCAGGTGATTACTTGACTCCGACGATATGTTCATCTTTTTTCCTCCCTACCAACCTGTGCCTAGCTGTGAAAACACTGCCCAAGACTCTGGATAGACTCAAAAGATTCAAGCATGTTAGAGAGGCAATGTCTGATGTCCTGACAGTATGGACCACAGTCTCTTCTACTGGGACCATGCACCCCGTTGCTCGAGAGAGAGGTG